ATATATGCCCAAGCTCACCTACCTAGGGATGGCACTGCCTATAGTGGGCTAGGTGTTCCCCTATATCAATTAGCAGTTAAGAAAATGCCTCATAGATATGACCACAGGCCAGTTTGGTAGACATAGTTCCTCAATTGAGGTTCCATTTTCCCAGGTTACTCTAGTTTGCATCAAGTTGACAGAGCTAACCAGCATACCTACTAAGACAAGGTCTTGTTTGGTAGGCCAGGCTGGGCTTGACTCCTTCTGTCTCAGCCTCCCAAGTGTCGTGACTATAGGCATGAGCCTCACTTCCAGCATAGCTTGGATTTTGTTGCATATAGATCTGTGATGCAGGACAATTGTTATTTTCTTTTTTCTTAAACTTTTAAAATTTTATTTATTATTTTTATTTTATGTGTATGCTTGTATTGACTGCATGTAGGTAAGTGCACCCGTGTCATGCAGTGCCCACGGAGGTCAGAAGAGGCTGTCAGATCCTCTGGGACTGGAGTTACGGACAGTTGTTAGCTGCCATTTGGGTGCTGGGATTCGAACCTTGGTCTTCTGCAAGAACAGTCAGTGTCTTAACCGCTGAGCCATCTCTCCAGCCCTGACAATTGTTACTTTTGTTCTTTTTCTTTCCAGAGAACTGTTAGGATTGTTCTTTCTAGTGCTTGAAACCAAGATGCAGTTCCCCTAGTTTGTTGAAAGCATTCTGTCTTTCTCAGTTGTACATTTAGAATGTCCATAGAGACTGCACATCTATGAAAGAGCCATGCAGAACTGCAAAGCCTCGTATCCTGCAGTTGCCCTTTTTTCCCCAGGTGTTTCTGTGTATATATGTATGTAGTAAATGACTAGTGCAAGTAATATCTCCTGAGCTTTGTATTTCCTAAGATTGTTACTCATTGTGACATTTGCCATTGTCAGAACCGTTTCTGTGAGTGCCGTGTTTTAAGTAAGGCTTTTGGGGACTGGAGAGGTGGTTCAGAGGGTGAGAGCAAATACTGCTCTGCAGAGGACCCACGCGGCCCACAATCTCTTGTTAACTTCTGCTCTGGGGATTCTGATACTGAGTTCTGACCTCCATGGACACTTGCACAAACATGCTCATGCATACCTGCGGCACACAATTACACATAAATGAAAAAAATAAAAATAAAATTTAAAAAAAAAAAAGGCTTTTGTCTGGAGTTGCCAGTTTTGTTTTTGTTTCTCTTGTATTTTTGTTGGGGTGGTGGAGAGTGGTTGTTGTTGGGACTTTTTTGGTTGCTTTGTTAGAAAACCCTTACAAACCTTCCAGAATTTGGATTGTTTCATGAATCTGCGTGTCACTCATGTGCAAGAACTATGCTAATTTTCCCTCATTCCTGTTTATTACGTACTCCTGAAGTGAGCACCATTTTACTTTTGGAGACTTGTCATCTGAGTGCTGAGACCATAGGCATTCACTACCATGCCCAGCTCAATTTGACTTTACAAAACGCTAAACTAAATTGAGCAGACAGATCTCTCCGGGTCCCGCATAGACATGTTCCTCCAGCCCTTTGTTATAGGACCAGGTTCTATACCAGAGGAGACTGTCTGCACAGAAAAAAAAACATGCTTCCTTGCTCAGGTCAAGTCCAACACAGACCAATGCTGTTACATGTCAGTGTTTTTAAACCTAAATGTCAAAGTGCCTTTTGTAAAATGTAATGAAATCTTGATATATCACAAAGGTTATGTTTAGAACTTTTATTTTATGCTAAGTTCTTGTATAGACAGCTACAGGCAGTTCTACTGCCAAAGATTTAAGGATGGAGTTAGGAAAAAGTTAATGTTGAGTTTTGTTTAAATGAAACTACCAGGAGCTAAACTGCCAGAAGGACGGAGCTGGAGTGCTGTTGGTGAGCTTTTTTTCACTTTTGCTTATGCTGTTTGGATCCACAGACGGGAAGCCTGTAATGAAGGAGAAGGAGACCCTCCACTCTACGTCAATGTGAACATGTTTAGTGGGCAGCTCATGAACACCTGGATTGACTCTCTGCAGGCTTTCTTCCCTGGTCTGCAGGTAATCTGCAATCAGATTTGTTAAGTAGTGCTCAGGGAAGGTTCAGTGGGTAAGAGTGCTTGCTGTATAAGCATGATGACCTGAGTTTCAATCCCCAGCACCTAAAAAAATAAAAAAAGCCCATGGTAGTGGCATGCCCTTGTAACACTAATGCTGTTGGCGATAGGGGTTGGGGGCAGGAGGATCAGTGGGACTTGCTGATTGCCAGACTAGCTCCAAGTTCAGTGAGAGACCCTCTCTCAAGGATGATAGAGCACTGTTACCCAATGTCCTCATTTGGCCTTCGTGCATGCACTGCACATACCCTCTCCCCCAGATTTGTTAAGAATAAGCAAGTAATGGAAACTCTGCTTCCTCTATTTATCCTAAGATATGAGCATCCCCTAGCTCTTTTGGTTGGGAAGTTAATAACACGTCTTGATCCCTCTGTGAACTTAGTTCCTAGACTTGCCTGTGATTTCTGATAATTCATCTGTGATGTCTTCTTAGGTTCTGATAGGAGATGTGGAAGATGCCATCTGCCTCCACGCCTTCTACTATGCCATATGGAAGCGGTATGGGGCGCTCCCTGAGAGGTATAACTGGCAGCTACAGGCCCCTGATGTTCTGTTCTACCCACTGAGACCAGAGTTAGTGGAATCCACCTATCTCCTCTACCAGGTATTGGAGTTCATCGAGCAGTGCTTTGTTGTTTCGTGGCTTGATTCCTGATTGAGTACTATCTATTTCCAGTCTTTTGTACTTAGTGTTGTTCTTGGTTCCATAGGGCGGAGAAAGTGTCTGTATCCACATTTCTAACCTAACATTTTATAAAGATTCCTGTCTTTATTACAGTGCTTATTTCTCATATCTTTAAATATTCAAGAGGAAGAGTTCATCCTTTAGTGTGTTCCAAATCTATTTGGCCAAAAAAATATTTTTGGGGGTACAATTTTTAAAAAAAAGCCTGGAGAGATGACAGTGGTTAAGAGCGCTGGCTGCTCTTCCAGAGGACCTGGGTTCAATTTCCAGTTACCCACATGGTGGCTGACAAACCATCCATAACTCCAGTTCTAGGGGATCTGATGCCCTCTTCTGGCCTCCATGGACACTGCATGACATGGATACACGTAAATACATGCAAGAAAAACACTCATACACACAAAATATAAATCAGTCAATAAAAACCCCAATTATCTGGTGTTTATAAAACTATCCACTTACAAAATTGGTTTTTCTTGCTTGTAGAAGACAGTCTTTGGGATTTACCTGAATGCCCATTTTTTTAAAGTTGAAAAAATAATGTTCTTCTTTTATGCAGTTCTTGTTGTGCCAGAGCAAACGCTCCTCTGTTAAGTGTCTTCTTCTGACACATACACCTCTTCACATTCCATGAATAGACACAGTGGCAGACCCAGACCCAGCATTGGAAGCCCTTGGCTTTAGTTAGTTCAGTATGTGTGAGATAGGACTTAGTCAGCAAGCTCTGGTAAAAGACCCTGATTCTCACTGACTCTGATAGCAAAATTCATTCTGTGCTTTAGATTTATTCAAACATTTTTATACTTAATCCTGTCACTGCTTCTAGGCTAAAATGAGGATGGAAGGGGTAGAAAATCTGGGAAAACTGCTCTTAGTACTCATCCCTAAAGAGATTTGGCATGAGTTTTAGAGAACCCCTTGAAAATGGGAAGAGATATTCTGGGACGTGGCTTCTCTGAGCTTAGATTAGAGTGAAGCTGGTTGCTGAGGACACCTTCCCTGCTGTGTATGGCTTGTCTTGAGTTTTGTCCTGTTTGTAGGTTTCTGCTGTTTCTTTCAGCTTTTTTGAAGGCTGTATTCTTTGCATCTATAGGAATTTTCTGCTTTACAGGTTTTCCCTCTGAGGCCACCTGGGTCCTTCTAATCTGGAGGCAGCCAACAGACCAGTTATTCCTTTGTTGCTATAGGTTGGCATTAGGTATGAGCTAGAAGTTTTAGGGGTAAAAGTCTCATCTTCCTAGAGACTTTTTTTTTGCATTGAAGAAACCAGAGAACATGTGACAGAGGAGTAAGGAGGCCAAGCACTTATTTCCTAGGTGATTAGAGGAAAGTGTACAGGCCAGCTGTTTTCTAAAGGACTTTTGTTCACTGTAGTTTCTCTTCACAGTGCTGTAATTGGAATAAAGTGAGGTCCCATTTCCCTGTCCCTGCACCTTAGTTTCTGGAGAGTTCTGAAGCAAGTAGAAACTGGATTTGTTCTCTGATTTGGTAATCTCAGGGTAGGCATTGTTTCATTTCTGACAGTGTAGCCAAAGTAGTGCTCTACCCTGGAGCAGATTTCCTAACTCTGCTTAAAGTTAACATATCACTGGTATTTGTTGACAGAATGCCTTAGTCTTTTACCAGTCCTGACCCCTGCTCTGTCCTTAGGCTGGTGACTCAACCCCTCAGGGGATCCCTGCAGCTACTGGTGTGTGTTGATGGTATCTCATCCAAGCCCTTGCTAGACCACATTCTCTCATATTGTCTCTAGGCAACCAAGAATCCTTTCTACCTCCACGTGGGAATGGACATTCTACAGAGTCTGGAAAAGTACACAAAAGTCAAGTCAGTTTTCTAAGTTCCTTCCTAAGTTCCTTCCTTTTTATTTTTGGGCCACTTGTGATTGATTTACATTTGTTCTGGGGAAATGTTACTCTTTAAAATAAACTTTGAATTAATTTGCTTAGTTTTAAAAATTACGTTTATTTATTGTGTGTATACATGGGTGAATATATGTGTGGGGGGGATGGGGGTGGCACATGCATGTCACAGCACATATGTGTGGAGGTCAGAAAGCAAACTTAGGTTGTTGATTGACCTCCAGCACCTTTATTCAATGAGCCATCTCTTCAGCTTGGATATATTAGTCTTACTTGCATTTTAAATGTGTAGTACATTAATGTTAGTTTTGTAGAGAAATGGTTTACCTTTTGGAATATTGGAATTTCTCCATTACAGTGGTCATTACATTTTTATGTTTTCCTCCCCCTTTTTTGGTAAGGTTTCAGCAGACTATTCTTTTTGTTGGTGGTGGTGTTTTGTTTTGGGGTGTTTTTGGAGACAGGCCTTCCTGTAGCTCCAGCTGGCGTGAACGCACTATATAGACCTGGCTGACTTTGATCTCTCAGAAATCTGCTTGCGCCTGCCTCCTAAGTGCTAGGATTAAAGGCCTAAGCTACCAGGCCTGGAAGACTCTGTTCTTTTAACTAAAAAAAAAAAAAAAATTATTATTTTCATTTTATGTGTATTGAGTGTATTGCCTGCCTGCATGCATGTGACTGCACCCGTGTCATGCAATGCCACAGAGGTCAGAAGAGGGCTTCAGATTCCCCTGGAACTGGAGTCAAGGATGGTTCATAGCCACCATGTGGGTGCTGGGAATTGAACCCTGGTCTTCTGCAAGAGCAGTCAGTGCTCTTAACCACTGAGCCATCTCTCCAGCCCCTCTTTTAATTTTTATGTCAGTAAGTCATTAAAACATTTAGGCAGTACAGAATATTAAGATGTGGAAGATGATTGTTGTGATATCTACCTGCAGATTCCCACAGTAAGTATTGAAGGAGATATACTTAGAATCTTTTAGATGTATTTATGTATATGATGTATGTATACATAAGTATATATAAGTATACTTTTCTATTTTGATTTTTATAGCTTGCTCTTTTGTATATTACTTACCAATATATCATAGAAAATACCGTTTTAGGACACCCAAACAATAAACCTGTTGTACAAAAAACTGAGATGAAAAATTTAAGTCAGTTCCTCTAAATTAAAAAAAATTCATTTATTATTTTTATTTCATGTGTATGAGTGTATTGCCAGCATGTGTCTAAGTGTACCATGTCATACAGTGCCTGCAGAAGTCAGAAGAGGGGTGTCAAATCCTCTGGAACTGGAGCTACAGAGTATTGTTAGCTGCCTTGTAGGTGCTGGGAACTGAACCTGGGTCCTCTGAAAGAGCAGCCAGTGCTCTTAACCACTGAACCATCTCTCCAGTCCCACTTCTAAATTTTTTGCCAGTCATTTTTGTGATGCCATGCTAGGCTTTGTCCTCTGTCCCCAGCTTGGAATTAATATGCTATGCTAATGATGCAGCCAAACCACTTAAAATAAAATTGCAAGCAGCCATGCTAAAACAAGGAAGAGCTCTTTGATGTAGCATGGCTTGTTTTTTATATGGTGTTGGAGAAGTTGGTTGATTCTTTTGGTAATAGAACATTTCTGACTGGTAATGAGCATGGGGAAAGAGCCAGAAGCAGGACTCACAGGAGCCTTGTTTTATAGATGTGGATATGCCACGCTACATCATGTCATAGACAAGTCTAAAGAAGACCGGATGGAGAGCTTCTTTCTGAGTGAGACCTGTAAATACTTGTATCTGGTACGTGTGTTGCAAGATGAACCATGGGTGTTTAGTGCTACTGAGAGCAAACATTTGTGCAGTCTTCTGTCAGATAAATATTTACTGGTTACTACTTTGTGCTGGACATTGTACATTCTCAGGGTTACAAGCCTGGTCAGGACAAAACGACATGGCTGCCTTCCCTTATGGCTTCAGCTTCCTGAGGAGCTACTTTCATATAGACAGAAATGAGCTTACGATTAGGAACTGTAGGAGGTGCTGGTAAGAACTGAGATGAGGCTAACTTTATGGTGATCTTCAGGGAAGCTTCTTTGAGGAAGAGAGTAATATCCCCTCTACCCTGATATTAGACATGGAACCCAGGGCCTTGTACATGCTAGGCAGGCACTGTACTCCTGAGCAACATTCCTAGTATGGGAGTGGTGTTGATAGGTCTTGATGTATGATGTTGACCCAAGCCCATGCTGCACTCCCTCTCTGTCCCTTTGCTTGTCTTCAAGCAGGCCCTGTATATGTGTGGGCATAGGAGAACTTCTGGATCTGGAAGAGTCCTTGGGATTACATATTCTTTATTCTGCCCCTTATGGGAACTGCAGCTTATACCGAGGGGTCAGCTGACTTAGCAGGCCTTGGGTAGAACATGGCAGAACTGAAGCATGAACCGTGATCTAAGTCCTGTCCAGCATTCTTTGTGCTTCTCCAGTCAGCCACACGTGGAACATGTGTGTTCATGCACATAACCTCTTTCTCCTGTCTTCTCTGCCACCTAACTCTAAGTGACTATGTACAAACAGCACTTTGAAGGCACACAGGGTTGGGAGGCTCAGAGGTAGCAGCAGTAGTAATATATTGTGTCACGTCCTCATGGTCCTCAGGCCTGGAGCTAGTGGAGTGAGAGTAACCCAGGGGCTGATGTTAAGACTTCCTTTGAGGTCAGTGGGCTTGGGAATTTAATTTTGAAAGAACCTGCAGTGATTCTGTACAAAACCAGGTTTCAGATATGGTGATCCAGGTGTGTGTGAGGTGGCGGTTAACTCAGCCATATCCCAGCCCCGATTTGATCTTTTTTTTTTCTCTGCCTCAAGCTGTTTGATGAGGAGAATCCAGTGCACAAGTCTGGGACCAAGTACATGTTTACAACAGAGGGTCACATTATATCTGTGGACAAACGTCTTCGGGAATTGCCTTGGAAGGAATTCTTCTCTGAAGATGGAGAGCGGGACCAAGAGGAAAAGTTTGTGCACAGGCCCAAGTCTCAGGAGTTCAGAGTCGTCAACTCCAGTTCTAATGTGAGTTTCTTTTTCAAATGAATGTGGGAAAGGAAAACATAGTTTTTTAGCATTTGGGATTCCAGCAAGAGCACATTCAGATTGGGCAATTTGGCAAGAGTTAGTAGAGGAACCATTTATGTAGGTGCTGTTACGGTATAGAGAAACCAGGGAGCAGCAGGCCCAAGTCACTCCTGGCTGCGGGTGGGTGGAGAGTGGTCACAGCATCTTGGAGAGAATCCTGTGGAAAGGATGGCCATTGACGATCTTTGGCTGATAGATCTGGCTTCAGTGACCTGAAGGGAGTCGGTGGTGTTTCCCTCCTTGCTCCTTCTGGTATCTCTGTTTTTGGATACAAGCTCATGTATTCATGTAGCCTGGGCTGGCATTAAACTAATTATGTAACAGACCGGCCTTGGACTCTTGATCCTTGATCCTCCTGCTTCTACCTCCCAAATGCTGGAATTTTAGGTGCGTACCACTACAACGACTCTCTTGATCTATTGCTGGTGCTTTTCCATGGCTGCAAGGAAGAGTTACTATATTCCATCACATCATGTTCTTGGGGGTCAGTGGTGGAAGAAGAGAGAATCCACTGGGATAAGTGGGAGTTTCAGCAAAGATAGTCAGTCACCAGAAGGAGGGGCAAAGCAGTCCTATTCTTTTTCAAACATCATTTGTTTTAGTCTGTTGTTTTGTAGTTTGAGACAATCTGGCCTCAAACTTAATGTATAGCTGAGGGTGATCTTGAATTTCTGGTCTTCCTCTTGCCTCCACTTTCCAAGTGCTGGGATTGCAGTCATGTACTACCGTACCAGTTTTATGTGCTGCTGGGATATCAAGCCCAGGGGTTCATGTGTGCCAGGCAAGCACTCTTCCAGCCAGCTGTGTCCTCAGGCCTTAGCAGTCATGTTCTTACAACTGTTAGTGGTGATGCCCTTCAAAGCCCAGCCAGCATCCCCCTTCATTTAAAGTAGACCTTACTCTGCAAGGTTTGATTAACCTTTATTTTCCAAAAAAATTGGAACTAGAAGTACCTGAGGTAATAAAGTCCAAGGCAGTTGATTTAAATGAAGATACAGTGTCCTGTAAGTCAGAATGAAGGCATGAACCCGGATCAGTTGAAATCTCAAGTCTTATTCTACAATGTTCCATTTAATTTCTCAGGCAAAAAATACAACTGCCACATCAAGAACTCACCCTCTGGTCACGTTCTGTCACCTCCCCACACCAGGAACCTTGCTTAGGGCACCCTTTAGTCCTTTTCTGTTAATGTATGTGAAGGTGTTTAGTGTCAGTCACTGAAGTACATTGACAGGCCACAGCAAACTTCCACCAGGCTGTGGAGTGTTCATGTAGTGAATGAAATATACTTGAGAGGGACTAGAGGGAGAAATGTTCCAGTAGATGTTCTAGGCTCTGTTCCAAATGCTTAGATACACAGCCTTGCTTTTCACAGCAGCTTGTAAGGGGTAGATACGTTTAATTTCTCGCTTTGAAGATAGAAAGAGGGAGGTAACTGAGAGGTTTTGGTTACGTGGTAGAGCCAGGCTTTGTACCCATGCATTGTTGTCTTTTCTTTTAGGAAGGAGATGCCTTCAATATCCCACATTCACTAGTATACATGATCTTGTGCCAAGCCCCAGTGATTCAGGTCCCTCAGAGGGGTCTGGATTCTGGGTAGGCTCATTGTCCAATAAGGAAACCAACGGAGAAACATGGGAGATATGGTGTGTGATCTGTGAGAAAACTGAGGAGGGATCCACTAGCAGTCTTTGGAGTCTGAGCTCTCCAGGTGTTTAGGTACCAGGATAGCAGCTGTGAAAATGTAGGGGCTGTGGAACCACTAAAGACCTGCTGGTTTTTGCTTTGCATGTAGTGAAGGAACCATGGAGCCTAGTGTACACAAGTGCAGAGTCCTGGGCAAAATGCTACAGGGAACAAGTTTGTATCTAGTGAAAATAATGTAGACAGTCATTTTTAGGAATATACAGTTGACTGATTCCCAAAACCATATCACCTTTGAAGGGTGAAAAAGAGCCTTTGATCAAAACAAATAATGCTCAGCCATTTCAGTAGTAGCTATGGATAAGAAGATAACTGAAAAATATAGTATTTCCTTCCCCCTCCCTCCCTGCCTCCCATATTGGGAATTGAACCCAGGGCCTTGTGCATGCTAGGCAAATATTCTACCACAGCTATATCTTTAGCCCAGTATTTTCAACTAGCTAAAGTGTCTGAAATTCTTAAGTTAGGGATTCAAGGGATGTAGACTTTAGACTTGGATGCTAAGCACTTGGTGTCTTTTGACCTCCTTAGATCTCTTTTTCTCTGCCTATAAAGTGGGAACATTACATTTCCATATATGGTTCTCAGTTGGGTCATTTTACAGGGACATTGGCAATGTTTGGAGTCATTTTTGGCTGCTAACAACTGGAGCCTGGAAGTTGTTTCTAGCCCCTAAGTGGGAATGACGAGGGGTGTTCCTCTGCTGACCACCCTCCGATACACAGAACAGTTCCCCACAAAAAAGAAGCTTCTGTTTCAAAATGTCAATAGTGCCCAGGTTTAGAAACTGGGTTTAGTTATCTAGCCACAGTTTTTAACCCAGAATTCACGTTTTCTTTCATTTTTGTCTTTCTAGTGCAATCGTGTTCCTGATGAACGGAGATATTCCCCCTAAGAGACTGACCTGTGGGTTTTTAACCCAGAATTCACGTTTTCTCTCATTTTTGTCTTTCTAGTGCAATCGTGTTCCTGATGAACGGAGATATTCCCTGCCCTTAAAGAGCGTCTACATGCGCCAGATCGACCAGATGGTTGGCTTGATTTGACCTGCTCACCTCACTATGGTCAGACCTTCAACCAAACCCAACCATACCAAAATCTCCTCTGAGGTGGAAGAGTCTGTCCATCTGTGATGGTGTAGAAATTTCTGTCCAGCTCCTTACCTCCAGTTAATTCTTGCACACTTAGTGTTTCCCTTCTGTTTAATAAAATGCCATATTTTTCTGAGGATATAATTAGAAAAGAGAAGTTGCCACGGAAGTTGGCTTCTTGTGATCTGCTGACGTTCTGAAGCACAGTAACCGCAGCATCTCTGGAGGAGTCCTCCCGGCTCCATGCGTGGAATCCCAGTCTCCCCGCTTTGCCACCACTGCTGTACCACAGTACCTCTTTGCTAGAGGATCATGAATGCAATTCTTGTACAAAGGCCCTGAGATTCACTTGGCATCACTACTTACTGCATTGACTGTGCCATCCTTTCTCTCTCTTAATGGATCATTGGATTGTCCCCAAGATACTCAGCCATGATTTTGGATCACATCGGGGGGAAAGTCACTCAGTTCTTTTACTCCCTCAAGTAATTTATACAGTGTTATTGTTTAACTAATGATCTAGCCAGAAGTCTGATAGGCAGCCTCTGAAGTTAAGTTGTGATGTAAGAGGTTAACTAACAGATCTTTTGGCCTGCATTTTGCACTTCTTTTGAATCTGAATTTACCTGAAGAATTCTCCTAGTTCAGAACCATGTGCCTCTTAGGGAGAAGAGATACCCTAAGATTGTCTGAGTGTCCATCTTTCTTGTGCTTCTTAACCAAGGATTCTCTGTTCTGACCATCTTTGGGTTAGAGTTTCGTTTGCTTGTCTAGTGCCAATTAGCTAATCAGGGACAAAGAAACAATCAGATGACTTTCTGACATCCTTGAGCCATTTCTCTGTGTAATACAGGCTTTAGATTAGTGCCTTATGGGTTTTTGTTTGGGCCATTGACTGTCATAGCTACTGCTGTGGCTGTAGACAGCTTTTTTAGTTTTGCCATATGACAGGATGAACAGGGAATAGGGTGGGTGTGAAGAAGATTCTGGAAATTGATTGGTCAATCATTGCCTTTTAAAACCTGTGATTTTAACCAGGCATATAGGAAGGAGGAAACAGTGCTACAATGTTTTTTTTGTTGTTATTTCCTTAGCTGGAATAGAAGGTTCTCTTTGAATTTACACTGACTGCTCCTACAAAGCAGAGCTGGGCCTGACCCCTCGCCTGCCCTCCCTTCACCGTGACAAGGCTGAAAGGCATCCTAATGGAAAGGGTGAGAAGTCTGTGGAAAACCTCCAGCCTCGTGTATCTTGTATCTCAGCCGTCACTGCAACTGTACACTTCACATGATTTCACTCCAGTCTTCCTATAACTAGAAAAATAGAGAGCCTGTCTAAACCATTGCATTTTTAGTCAGAAAGGAGAAATTTTATTTTATTTTTTAAAAGTAATATCTATTTTGAAAATAGATATTCAGTTCTTTGACATTTTTAGAGTGGGGGTTTTCAGTAGTGTCACTTTGTTTTTTAAACATTGACTATACAATTTGTTTTAAAGTATAAAATATCAAATGTTTCTGTTTCCTTGATTTCACAAGCATTGTTCTGTTTATCAACAGTGTCCCATCTGTATAGAAAGCTTTATTTGAGAATATTACCTGCTTTACATGTTTTTGTTAACTCAGTAACAGTGTTAAATGCGTGCATGTACAGGTGTCTGTACCCCTAGACCTTGTCTCCAGACACATTCAGGTAATAACTGGTAATGATCCACCAGGGACAATGAAGCATGATCAGGGAAGGAAGGAAGTTCTTCATGCCTCTGTCTTTTCCTTACTTCTGCCCCCATCATTCTGTCTTGTTCCTGAGGCAGTTATATGTGAACACCCAACATTCTCCTTCTTATCTGGGCCCTTCATTTGTTACATATTTCTTATCCCCCCTGCTCTTGGAATAGGGATTTATGTCTGGAAATACAATGGTACCTTGAGTGCTACCCATGAATCTCGTGCAGGCAGACATGCAAAGTATTTTAGTAAATTTCACAGCCTCTTGACTTCTGGGTACTCATTGACAAGGCCAATGGTAAGGTAGATGTTTCCTATAAATCCTGGTTATTGAGCTTCCAGACTACTCAGGGTAAAGTTTCATGTTATGTAGTCACTGATATGTGGGATCAGATAAGGAACACTGTCTAGTGCCAGTCATAAAAAGAACACTGTTTGAGGCAGGTTCAAAGCTACTTGCTTTCTTTCTGAAAATCAAACTGTCAGCAACTGTGATATATCTTATGGTATGTTTGCTCTTCCTTCTATTCTCTGTCCTGAAATCTGGGGAGAGGTTCTTTTGCTCAGTTCTTTGTCCCTACAATGACTGGAATCTGAACAGATGTCATCTGTGAAGGCGGACTGCGTGTTGTGTTCCCACGAGTGGTGTCTCGTGTCAGCTTTGGTCAGTATGCTCAAAGTTGCAAAATGAAAGCTGCCTTAGGATTAGGCTTGGTAAGTCCAGTTCTCCCACCATTAATGGCCTTGGCTTAGCTGATCTAAATACTGTGACTGAGGAATTCTATTCTCCTGAAAGAGGAGGTAACAAAGGTGGCTCTCAATGTTTTGGCTATTGTGAAAAACTGGCTTTGTTCTCAAAGCCTACCTTCAGTTTTTTCCTAGCTCTTTTTCTAGAGCTTGCTCTTCCTAACTGAATTTCTAGTTTTGATGGTGTCCTGGGCTTTTCTTGTCTTGGATTGTGGACTCTGCATATGATGTTCAAATAGTTTTGTGTATTTAAAGGAATACACATCAGGGTGGTGTCTGGATGAATGTCAGCAGAGAGTTCATATTACTGGTTTTGTTAAGAACAGTTGCACAACCCTGGGGCCACCATTCCCTCTTGCCCTTCCTCTCACCCCCATGGAGGAAAATATCCCTCTTCACTAGTTCTTCACCTGCTTTAGTGAATGACCATCCCCTATGGTTCTTCACTTTGGATCTTGTAGACTGCATCAGACGTTCCTTTCCTCCAGGGCTCCGAGCTCTTGCTCTTTGGACGTGTTCAAATTTAGTGCTGGTCAGAGGGTAGGGCTGAAGATCCCCTTAGCCACAGCTGGCCATGCAGTACCCACTCTAGTGCCTGCTCCCTGCAGGGCAGGGACCCCTTGTGAACAGAAGGTGGGGCCGTGCAGCCCCAGTTCAGCAGGGCTCAGGGTTACTAAGCTCCCACTTGAATTTGGATGTGGATCTGGTAAAGTGTCAAGTACCTGTGGAACGCCCTGATTCACTGCTCCCCACTTGTTCTGAGAGGTCGAGGAATAGTATTTTAAAAAGGTATTTTGTTTTAATGTTGAGTAGAAAAACAAGCTGCATTTTTATTTATTATATATAAGAAAAGTAAATCTTTTTACAAAAAATAAAACCTAGAGTTGGAAACTCTGGGAAAACTTACTGAAATACACAAATGCTTCTCTCTCTTTGTAATGTGCAATATACTTTGCTACCATAGATGATATTTTATGTTTAATCTGTAAATAAGAAATGTATTTAAATTAAAAGGGAGCTTTTTGTAAAAGGACCAAATGTTCTTTTATAAATGTACTAAGGAATATCTTGCTCTTTGAAATTTATTAGGATTTTTATGAATAATTTTTATTAAAAGATTCTTTTTTGAGTTGTCACCGTGTTTCTCCTTTACATACTTACATATTTACTACCTGTAGGAGAAGGGGAAAATCATTTTGTGAAATCATAAACTTCAGTGACTAAAATATTTAGTAAATTTTTTTCTTTTGGTCTTTGTTTTTTGAGACGGAGTTTCCCTGTAGCGCCAGCTGGCCTGGAACTCACTGTGTAGACCAGACTGGCCTTGAACTCGTAGAGATCCACCTGCCTCTGCCTCCCGAGTGCTGGGAATAATAAGGGTGTGTGCCACCATGCCCTACTTAGTAAATTGTTTTTTAACAGTTAGGCTTCTTTGCTGAATTCCTGTCCAGTTTGTCACAGTCTCCTGTTTGAATGTCCTTTGCATGTGGATGAGCCCCTTCCATGGCGTGTGGCATCACCAGCCTCTCACTGTGCTTCTCCTGTTTGAATGTCCTTTGCATGTGGATGAGCCCCTTTCATGGTGTGGCATCACCAGCCTCTCACTGTGCTGTGGATGAGCCCCTTCCGTGGCGTGTGGCATCACCAGCCTCTCACTGTGCTGTGGATGAGCCCCTTCCGTGGCGTGTGGCATCACCAGCCTCTCACTGTGCTATGGATGAGCCCCTTCCGTGGCGTGTGGCATCACCAGCCTCTCACTGTGCTGCCTTCCGGTGCTTTATTTGCATTCTTGTCAGTTACCTATATTCTGGACCCAGGTCTGTGTTGTCCTTAGCAAGGTGCCTCATATAGTCCCTTAGTGGTTTAGATGGGGCAGTGGTGCTGGGACTTTTGGTGGTGCACACCTATAATCCAGAGGCTGTGGCAGGGGGTTGTTTGAAATCAGCCTGAGCTAAATAGTGAGTGCCTATTTTTAAAAGAAAAAAGAAAAAGTAGCACCTTCCTGGTAATGTGGTGAGCACTGTCCCCAGGGGAAGCTTGGAGGTGTCTTACAGGGCTGACCTGTTCCTAAACTGTCCTCTCAGTTCCTGTGGTAAAGGACAGCTGATTTTGACTTTGGCATCTCAATGTTCCATCCCAGAGCTGTAGGCAATTCTGGAGTTAATATAGTTCAGGAGAAAGCCCTAAGGTGGAAAGTATTTTGTTACTTTGCAAGTGCTTTACCCATGATGGAGAGATGGCTCAGCGTTGAGTACTTGCTGTTCTTTCAAAGGACTGGAGTTAAGTTCACAGCACCCACGTCAGGAGGCGTACAACCTTCTGTACTCCAGCTCCAGGGGATCTCTGACGCCCTCTTCTGGCCTCCCTAGACACCTACCTCTTCCACAATGTTCCCTGAACCTTGGAGGGGTGCTTTGATGTCCCATTTAGGGCTGAGCACTCAACAATGTGGCACATTCTTGGTTTCAATTTTCCTATCATGGAGTTGTCCATACTTGTAGAGTGGTTGTGAGGCTTGGAGCAGACTCATGTATGGGATACAACAGCACCTGGCATGCGTAAAATAACTCTGCTTTTTATAACAATGACCAAGGTGGATTAGTCCCAGGATAAGCCCTGGTGTGTGTGTGTATTTTTTTTTAATTTCACTTTATGTATGGGTGTGGTGGGCACATACACCATGGCACATGTGTAGAGGTCAGAGGACAACTTGTAGGAGTTGGGAGTTGATTCTTCTACCGTGTGGGTCCTGGGGGTCCAAATCTGGCTGTCAGGGTTGCCACAGCGAATGCCTTTACCTCCTGCTGAATCATCTCGTAGGCTCCTAGCCTATATTTAAAATTTTTTCGTGGTGGTGGATTAAACCTAGCACCTTAGGCATATAGGCAAGTGCTCTGTAACTGAGCTACCTCAGAGCTACATTTTTTTTTTTTTTTTTTAAGACAAGGTCTCACTATGTAGCCCTGGCTAGCCTGGGACGTGCTATGTAGACCACGCTGGCCTCAAATTCACAGAGAATTCACCTGTCTCTTGCCTCCTGAGTTCTGGGATTCATGCTCAACTCAGAAGTACTTTCAAAAGATTTTTATTTTTGACATCCTCCTGCTTCAGCCTCCCAAGTAGGTGGGGTCACAGATTTGCACCACATGCCCAACTTTAAACAGAGACCCTGTGGAGGGTCTGTGGATGGGTAAGAACATGGACTAACTTTTGAGGCCCACCTGGAAGCTTTGTCTTTGTCCTGGATATGTGGCTTGGGTTGTTACTTCATATAGTTTGTTCATGAAACTGGAGCTCATAGTACCTTGAGTCCCAGCGTTCTCAGGAGGGCAAAGTGAACAGGTCGCTACATTTCATCAGAGTGTTAGTGGCAACATCTAAAATCTTCCTGTGTTACTTCTAACATTTAGTCAGAGAAGTGTACTATTTCTTATCTGTGTCTGACTGTGAGGCCAGAGGGCTGACTGAATTCCTGTGTCCTCATGCCACTGGCCATTGTGGGTGCACTGGTCATATGTAGCTTGCACATGGCTTAGCAACCATATTCACACCTCCATGAGGAAGGTAAGTTCTGTTTCTCCATGTCTATGTGTGTGTCCCTATTTGCATGTTGCATGTCAGTGCCTGAAGAGTTCAGAAGAGGGCATTGGGTCCCTGAAAGCTGGAATCACAGGCAGTTATGAGCTACCTGATATGGGTGCTAAGAACTAGATGGGACCTCTGCAAGAGCGTTTAACTTCTCTTAACTGCTTGAGTTACCTCTCTCCAGCCTCATGGAAAATAATCTTACCTGTAGTAACAATCAATTTGGACCAGTAACCTTAAGTTCTTTTAGGTACCATTGTGAATAATTTGTCTCTGGTCCCAGGCTGGAGAGAAGTGCTATGACTATCCCCAGAGGAATGTAGCTAAATTTGGTCTAATCCCAGTGACATCTTCCTTCCCAGAGGTTTGGGAGAAGGAAGTTGTGTTGGGGTGACACACCTGCTCCTGCTATGGGAACTTAACTGCGAGGTGCCAAGACCCAGGAAATAGACCTCAGAAGCCACAGTGAATGCCCTTTCGCCTCATCTTTGGAATATGCCTGTGTGGAGTGCGAGCGGACGTTACTTTGGAAATTGGGGCGGGGGGGGCGGTATGCACTGCCTCAGCACACAAGACCTGTTCTGAAGAGACTGGCCCTCAAACAGCACTCTCTGAATCAGAGTGTCTTTCACTGTGGGATACTTTGAAAAAGCTATGCTCTGAGGGAACTGGTCTGGCTGCCTTTCATGGGGAGCTAATCAGATTTATCAGATTTGTGTAGAACATGGCCTGATTATTTGAAAGCCTGCTTGTGAAGAAAGGTTTTTGTTTTGTTTTTTTTTTTTTTGGTCTTTTGGATACAGGGTCTCCCTGTAGCCCCAGCTGACCTGGAAGTCGCTATGTAGACCAGGCTGGCCTTGAACTCAGAGATCCCCTGCTTGCCTCTAGTGCTGGGTTTAAAGGTGTGTGCTACCGTGCTCAGCATGAAGAAAGTTTTTTAAGGGGCCAGTTTCTGATCAAAAACTATCTGAACCATATTGAACTGATTTTTTTCGGGGGGAGGGCAACTATTGACATTAAATTTTTTTGGATGATTTTTAATTACATGTATAGATGTGTATCTGTGTATGGCTATTGCACATGAGTGCCTGGTGCCTGGGGAAGCCAGAAGAGGATGTGGGATCCCCTGGAACTGGAGCTGTAGCAGTTGTGAGCCACCTAACTTGAGTGCTGGGGACCAAACCTGCATTCTCTAAGAACAGTTATATGCTCTTAGCCACCGAGTCATCTCTCTAGCCCCCAAATACTGACACTTTAAAGTAACAACTGTAGGTTAACGTAGGGCTTTGTGTGTGGTAAACGTGCACTCTATCACTGAGCTACATTTCCAGCCCTTAATTCCATTGAAATCTTAAAACCATTATGATTATGTGCCATTATCTATTCATGTATTTCCATACATTATTTATTAGTTGGGAATCTAAGCTTTTTTTCTATTTGCATTGGGTATTTCCAGCCCTCTCCCACCACAGAACCTCAGGATTGCATACTGACTCAACTTAGGACAATTTCTTGGTCTTAGTGTCTGTGTTACAGACCTGTACAGTTTGACAAATACTTTACATATTGTATATAATTATCAAAATTTCTAAAATTGGATACTCAAGTATTTAAGTATTAAGTCTTCAGGATTGAGCTAACATTACAATATTAGTGTGATTAAAAAATAAATTTTGTTGAGAAAATTTCTTTTTGTTAGATGATAGAGCCCCTTCCAACTGAATCGTATGTCTGTGTGTAATGCTTCTACATTGCTGGTAGGAATGCAGATTCAACCATTCTGAAGGAGATTGACATCCTGTAGAGTTGAATGCCCTGTGCCCTCTGACCTAACAGGTTGTTCTGGGCCCCGCTTGGGCTGTCAAGAGGTTCATAAGGAAGTGGCTCTGCCAGTTCCGTACCTGCAAAGGTCATGCTTAGTAGGTCAGCAGGATGGACTATGGTTTTTGTTAACAGTTTTATTGGAGTGCAGCCTTGTTATTTTACTCATTTTACCTACGATTGCTCTTTTGCTACAAAGGCAGAGATGGGCCTTCTGGCTTCCAGTGGTGTGAATCTGCACTATCTGGCCCTTTACAGAAAACATTCTCCATTTTCTGTCTTTTGGGTTAGAAGATCTCTTGAATGTAGGAAACTAGATGATATAAGCCTGTTCATAACAGCATTGTTTAGCAAAGTAAAAAAAAAAAAAAAAAAAAGCCCAAACCTTAAAACAAGAACAAAAACCCCACCCTCAAAAGGAAAACTACCCAAATGTACATAAACAATCATCAATCAATCCACACTGGAATATTATGGAGCAAAGAGCCAGTAGCAATCCGTTTATTGATAGTTCACAATCTACCCAAACTAAGTTCATTGCTTAGAGATACAAACGTGGAAAACTATAAAATACAGCAATAAAGTAATTATAAAAATCATGAGGATGTGGTAAATTCTTAAAATTTTATGTTGCTTTGATGTTGATGTTTTAAAAATACATTTTGGCTGGAGAGATGGCTCAGTGGTTAAGAGCACTGGCTGCTCTTGTAGAGGACCAGGGTTTGGT